CTACAATATTAAGGAAGGAGCCGGAGGTAGCGCGGACTGATGTAATAGATGGCCTGCGGCCGCGACCGATCGAAGGGCGACGTCGCGGAGAACGAGGGGATAGGGAGGCGGGAGAGCCAGGCTGCACGTGGGAGGCCCACGAAGCGATGGCCGAGAAGGTGCTGGATCGGCGCCGAGCGGGGGCGGGGGCAGTGGGTTTATAGGCAGGAGGGGGAGAAGGGAGTGGCTGAGTTGGACGCTTCTTTTGGGGTGGCGGGGGTGGCGGGAAAGAAAGAAATGCGTATACTGGGGGCTGCTCAGCTTTAAGAGCGAGATCCTGTGGCACAGTCTGGGTCTGGCAGCTCGACATGGAATGGATATTCAGGGACGGAAAATTAAACTTGAACGGAGTGATCCGGATATTCTGAGGAGTATGAGCTCGTTTGTCATCGGAGGCAAGGTGCGAAACAAAGCAGACTCACAGGAATGGCGTGAAGGGGATACAAAGACTGATACCTCTGAGCCTCTTGATCGATAGTAAAAAAAAAAATAGAGATACAGGGATATCTGAATGTAGATGATGAGTGTCGGGTAGGACTACAAGTGAGTTGAAAAAGTCGGAGCGGATGGCAGATGTTAGAGCGAGATTGGACAGCGAAACGCGAGACTAGCTCAACGGTGTGGGACCACCGCTGGCTTTGCGTTCTAGCTTAAGAGCGATCCTAGGGACAAAAGGCAGCAGGCCGCTTTGACTGGAGCCGGCATTTGGACAATAGATTCTTCTGCAGTATATAAAGCGCTGCAAAGCGCTCATAGTGGTGGGAGGTAAACTTGGACCCACAACAAGGCAGGTGGCCAAACAACGCGGTGCATTGTTCTCCAGGACCCCGAAAACTTCCTTCACTCCGGCAAGTCCCGGACCTCATTGTCCTCCACACACTAACCCAGGCAATAGTGACTACAGCTTTCAGTGCTTTAATAGGTCAATGCCGAGTTGCATATGGCTTTCCCTTTGCGTTCGACAACCTAGACGTAGAAGCATCCTCGGTTTTCGAACACGGTACAGCCGTCTTCGGGGTCACACAGCATGAATACAACACCTGCCTAATTTGGACGGGTCCTACATTCTTCAAACGCCGCACCGACTTTGCGCCGACCCCTTCCCTTGGAGTGACACTTTGTATCGACAATAAGGGTAGCCAAAGGCATGAGTCCCCGCAAGGCGAGACGCTTCCAGCACACCGGATTTACTGATTCCGATTCCACGGTCTTGTCGTGACTCGAACAAGTCGTGGATGCTTCTCACCCCGACTCGGAGTCAGGTGGACACACACTTGTCTAGTGGCGAGCGTGGCCCAACCAACGACCGGACAGGTCTGGCGGTCTCCATTCTCCCCACACATCTCAAGGTCAATTGTCTTGTTTTCCTCGGTGTGGTTTATTCAATATGGCCAATACATTGAAGCAGAAACCCCAAACTGTTCTCGCATACTCTCAGGCATCCGTGACATTTGGCTCCCGCCCTGCAAATAAGACTCATGCATCTGCCATGGATGTGTGTACAACATTGATGCTAGTGTAGTCGTGATCTGGTCGTTGCGATTCATATTTGATATCTCTTCTACTTTCTCTTGCGATTTACAAGCCGCGACCACGACCTCTCATCCCACCTCTGATACCAATGATACCCCCGCGTCCAAGCCCGCGAGGCAGAATACCCTTCGGTGCTCCTCTATTTAGTGGCCCAGCATTTACTTCCGTATTTGCTCCCGTTTTCGGAGCTGCGGGGGACGCCCCGCCTCGCGAGCTGTGTCCGCCACCGTGAGGGTGGACAACAGTCGCTATCCTCGCCCTTCCCCTCCCTCCCCTCGGGCCGAATGCGGAGCTGGTAGGTCCGGTGACATTCGGGTTATGTAGTTCAGGGTGCACGAATCCGCCGTTCTTTCCCCCACGTCCAAAGCGTATCGATGGAGGTACAAGGGACAAAGAAGTCATGGACTGTGCCAGGCTGTCGAGGTCTCCGGATGGTGGTGGAACGCTTCCGTCGCGCTGTCTAGGTGGCGAACGCTGTTGGTGTTGCTTCTGTGAGTTGGGATTCACAATGAGGCTGCGAGGGTTATCATCGATCGTCTCAAAACTTCTGACTCTTGGCGTTTGCTCTCCGTTCATCTCGTCGTCTGATTCTTCATCGGTGGTCTCCGTTTCTTCTTCTTCTTCGTCTTCATCCTCTTCTCCACTGTCCCTCGGTTTCCAAGTACCCCGTATCATACTTGCTCCGTCACCCCACCGTTTCAGCAAGCCGCCCACGCCTTTATTTGTGACAGCGAAGAAATACTCCTTCGGGAACGAGTGTGCTTGTATCAGATGCAGCCGGCGTGCCTTGGGCGTCAGGAACAAGCGAGGACATGAGATGAGATGACAGGCAAACTGAGGAAAATCCGCCACGCCACACAAACTTGAGTATACGATTCGTGTCGCGCACAATAACCAGCCTACGCACGATCTTCTCCCCTCTATCTTTGCGCAGAGCAGCGATGGGGTCATGGCACTCAGTTTGGTGCTAATTATACGAGGTCAAGAGAAGTATGGACAGCAGTTATAGAACATAACACGTGGATGGCAACTGGGATGGGCTCACCAACTCTAGTAGACGTGCATCGGGAAAGACAAGCCCGCACCCGCGCTGTTCACAGACATGTGCATGGTATTTCGCATAATGCATCTCTAGATCTTTAGAACTCGCGATTGCAGTCGGCTGATGATGTGGAGGGTTGCATGTCGGTGGAAGAGTACACAGCAGGGGCCGATTGGCTGGATCGGACGACTGGGTACGTGAGGACTTGGACATTGGTTCTGGGGATGGAGATGATGGTCGGGAAGATAATCGCGAAGGCGTACGCTGGCGTTTGGACGACATCCCTTTACGTCTCGTGCCAGTGTACCTCGTTGCAGATGCACTTACAATTTGGTCTCGAAGATGGCTCGAAGCAGACTCGCGGAATATCAATTTTCACTTTTGGAGCATGTCACATTAAGGTGTTACGAATGTGACACGTGATGTGCCACTTTGTCACACGTCTTGCCCTCTTCCATCAACTCAACTTTCGGGGACTCGCAAATTTCAAAATATCCCTCTCACAATGTCATCGAAACGCAAATGGGACCAGGCAGCACCGGACGCAGTAGCAGCCGATGGAGAGCACCCATCTAAAGCATCCAAGGTTGATGAAGGAAAGACCGCTTCCGAGGCTGCAGCTGCGGCAGCAGCCATTGCGGCAAAAATCGCTGCTCAATTTAGCGCTGGAGGTCCATCGGGTGCAGGGAGCATACAGATAGGAATGAAAGATCCTCACGACGCGGAGTTCACCCATGATATCGATATTAACGATGTACGGAACCGGTATATGTTGACGAAAGGCGCGACACAAACCGAGGTGAGAATTTATGGTTGTTATCCTTGTATCTCCTTAACACAGAGACCGGGTTCGAAGATCCACGAGGAGACCGGCGCATCCGTTAGCACGAAGGGTGTTTGGTACCCTGACCGATCGAAAGCGACAGAGAAAGACCCCCCTCTTTACCTCCATCTTTCCGCTAACACGAAGGAAATATTACAAAAAGCGATTGACAAAGTCAACGAACTGCTTGCCATTGACCTCGGGTCGCTCGTAGAAGACAAGAAGGATCGTATGCGGGAGAAGGTGACGCAAACTGCTCACTTTATTTTCGAGTACTGCTCTGAATTTCCATGCAGCGCAAATGGCCGGAAGAGAAACTGCCTGTGGTCATAGAAACCATACGAAACTTCAATGTCCGAGCCAAAGTTGTTGGACCGTCTGTAAGTAGAGTCTGTCATTGTTGAGGCCATTCCTAATGTTGCGCCAGGGCATGTTCGTCAAATATATCCAACAAGAGACGGGGACACGAGTACAAATCAAGGGCATCGGCTCAGGGTTCGTCGATCAGGAAACCGGTCGGGAGTCGGATGAGCCCATGCACATACACATTACGTGCGTATATTTAAGGCCGTCCATTGTGATTTTCTCGCTCACAGCTTGTCGTTCAGTGGGCCAGAGGAAGGCCAAGTTGCCCGAGCGAAGGTTTTAACAGAAGACCTGTTAGAAGTTGTTCGAGCAGAGCACGCTAAAGCCCAAAGCGTTGCGACGCAACAACAAATGGAGTTGCACCAAGCGCAGATGCAGTATGCACAATACAGCGCCATGGCAGTAAGTGCTGTCGAAGAATGAGATTGTCACCAGCTTGCTGACCATCTCCTTCGTCTTTAGAGCGGTTATGCACCCCCACCTCCCGACAACGCCCCACCGCCCCCACCACCTGGCGAGCAGCCTCCGCCACCCCCAGACGGCAGTGCACCCCAACCTCCTTACCCTGGTGGCGCTCAAGGCTCTCCTCCATCGGGACCCCCGGGCGAAGGTGCCGATGCTTACGCTGCATACTGGTATGTCACTTCGCTCTTGGAAAACTATCTCTCGGGTATTGACGTTCTTGCCGTCCAGGGCACAATACGGCTACGACGTCAACTCACCACAATTCAAAGAATGGGCGGCCAGCCAGCAGCAACAATATGGTCAGTACTACGCACAAGGCTACGCCGGGGGAGCAGTACCACCCGCCAACGGAGCACCTGCCCCAAACGATCCAGCACCGCCGCCGCCACCCCCGCCAGCGTAGGACCACTGAGTTTAGTACCATCATCTACAACGCGGGGCCCATCGCTATTTTATCTCCGTGTATATTCTTGGGTGCATATCAGACCATTTGCTTCCTCGTGTATTCACTTCCCCTGCAGGAAGTTTGAGATCGTGTTAGGAGCTAACCATCCTTCCATCAGGTAGGCATCCACCACCCACTCAGGTCGTGTGAACCTTAGTCGACGTTTTTGTGGTGAGTTTGGAGTGTTTATAAATTCGTGCAAACAGCTTCAGAAGATCGCGCCCAACCACCCTGTCAGAGTGATTAACATGAATGCTCATCAAAAATATCCTCAGTGCAAAACTAAGCTGCCCCAGTGAGGCTCGAACTCACGACCTTCCGATGATTACGTAATTAGCAAGGCTACCTAACAGTCGGACGCTGTAACCAACTCAGCCATGGGGCACATGACAACCGCGAAATTTATACCTACATATTATGATTGCAAGCCTGAAGCTAAGAATTGTGGTTAACAACATCGTTCAAACAGTTGTGTTCGCAGAGAAGCTTCAAGGCATCGAGCTTAAACGTCGTGATAGTGACTGATTCGGTGTGGTGTACATCTCGAAGTTTAGTTTTCACCCCTCCCCAACTTATCGAGACAGCGGATGCCCTGCTCGAACCACTCCTCTCTCGATATCCAGAATTCCTCACGGCCTTTCATGATGTCTGCTAGAACAGCACCTCCTAGGAAAACCATGTGCTTCCGGCGCGGAGGATCTTCTATTCTGATCTTGAATTTCTGTCCAGTGCATAAGCCTCCTTTGTCCCAAATGAACGCAGAAAATGATAGAGAACGCACGTTCAAACGCGTAGGGTCGCCATTCAATACGCGCGTGAGGTATAGCTGCTTCATCTCCTTCTCGAGACGGCTGGGGAGACCGGGGTACATACTAGACCCCCCGGATAGAACGATGTGCTTGTACAGTTCACTACGGATATCCACGGCCGCGTTCTGGATAGTCTGGTAAAGCATCTCTGTGGATTGGTGAGCGAGATCGTCGAGACATTCACTCGGCGACCTACCTGCTACACCGGGTTGATCAACGTCGACAAGGTGTGGTTGGAACATGCACTCGGGTGCTTCGAAGCGTTCCGAGCCGACCTTGATCGTTCGGCCGTCTGGTAGCTATTGGAGACCGCCGGTTAGTTTAAACCACTGCAAATCACGTTGATAATCATACCGTATAGTTCTCAACCAGCACGGTAGTTTCCTCTGACAATTTTGAGTCAAGATCCAGGTCATAGCTTTACCACCAGCTCAGACGATCATCACTGAAGGGAAACGGACCACGACGCACCTGACGTAGCACAGCTTCTCTTTTATCTCCCGAACCGTTTCAAAATCAGCCGTACGGTTGAAGGCGTAACCACGCATCAACAGAAGTTTGATCAGGTAGCGCGTGACGTCTCGACCAGCAATGTCCAAACGACGAGTCAGATGAGGAAGCGCGAAACCATCGTAAACGGGCACGATATGCGTCACACCGTCACCGGAATCAACGACCACGCCAGTCGTCAAACCTGAGCGCCTTCAATCAGCCTCCATCGTCAGCCAACACCTCCAACACAAACCTTGCGCATAAAGTGTCAATACCGCCTGGATGGCTACATATACGCCCTGGAACCCATACTCCTCAAACATAACCTGCACCATCCTTTGCCGATTGACCTTGGGGTTCATTGGGGGCTCCGTCAGTAATACCTTCCGCCCGCGCGGATCGACCTTGAGTTTCTCGTCGAAAGTGTAGTCCCAGAGATGTTTCATATCTTCCCAGTTGCGCACGATACCGTGTTCCATTGGCTGTGTGACTTGGAGGTAGTTGCGGTTCTCGGCTGCTTCGTCGCCGACCATGATGTCCTTGATCACTGCGGAGCCTACCCGCTCTTCTGCACGCAGGATCGGGCGGCCGACGACTGAGGGGAATACTAGGCGATGGGTAAATCAGTTAGGTAGGATAGAGAGGCGGGCGGCGCGAAGGTACCATGTTCTGGGAAGTTGGACCCTGCGTAGCCTACTTTCACGAACTGCGGGGTCCATTCAGACAGAATGCGCGATCTAAAGTTAAATGTTCCTTACACCAGTTCCGTTGTCAACGACTAGAGGTGTGCCTGGATCCATGCCAGTTTCAAAGGCCAGTCAAAGATTGGATGAGAGACCGAAGATAAAGATGAGTTACTGTACAATGATGGTCGCGGTCACGGTGTGCTATAACTGATCGCATGCATACTTACATATGTTTATGCGACTTTGGCCTGTGGCAGAGCCAAAACATATCAACCACTTGGCCTCACGGAGAGCAGCTGTTGACAAGGGTATTGTATACTAATGGAATAATTCTAGAGAACGTGGTATCAATGTGTCCGTTGTGTCATTTCCGCTCCTCGGTTCTGCTCCTGCAACTCCCGCCGGCGACGACGACGTAGACGATACAATATAGCCACAACGACCGCAATAGCAAAGGCTCCAACCACAGCTCCCACAACTTCGCCAGCGATCGCTCCCGCTGTTTGGCCGCCGCCACTCTCTCGACTGGCGCTACTCGTTGCTGGTGATAGAGTCGGCGGGGTACTGGAGGGTGGAAACGATATTGTAGGCAGATAAGAGGCTGTTGCGCTGCACGAAAAGTTCAGGTATGCAACGAAGGAACCATCGTGGAGCAATTACCTGCTGTTGGCGACAGTAAGAGTTATAAATTCGATATCAAAACGTGCCGAGGATACACCAGGCAAATATGTGATCCCAAGAGTGGTAGTTTGCGTCTCGGGTATATCCACAGCGAAGATATTCTCAATGGATGTGTTCACCTCTCTGGTGATGGTAAGTTCGGAAGGGGAGGCAGTTAGAGAGAAGTTGACGCTCGCGTTCGAAAACGGGGAGGTACGCAAATACAAAGCCGAGCCTGTTCTGTGTGAGCAGATGTCAGGCTCTCAGAGAGATCGCCGTTTACCTCGAAAACTGAGAAACAGTTGTGGTATGGTATAATCCGTTTGAGATATGGGGCCGTTCGTGGCGACCACAGTTGTCCCTGGAACGTCATTGACCAATTGCCTAGAAGGACCGTTTCAGGGTAGGGACTCGATAGTGAGACAGTACCACTCACCAGGCGCTAACGCAACCTGTATCGATAGCGGAAGTGTTGCAAAGGGCTGGGCTATACACAATATCCGGTGAGTTGCTCTGCAATACGACATTTTGTTGTGCCCAAGATTGAAGGAGTCCAGCCCCAAGAAAGCAAAGGAGGATATATATCCGGGAGAGACAGTCGGGCATTCGAGCGCGTTTGAAGAGAGAGAGGGCTCGTGGACGGGAGGCAGGATCAGAAGCCGGAAATATGCCTACAACCACGTTACCAACCGCAAATGATGTTCTCTGCTCTTCTTTCCCGAATATCGTTCATACAGCGTCAAGAAATGCTGACTGGCGCGCATCCCGTGGGTCAGCAGGGGAGACACACCAAGGTGGACATTTTTGGCTCCAGCCCCGCAAACGGTACATAGCCTCAGCTAGGCACTAAGCAAACGATTGATTGAATTTTTCTAGCGGTGGGTAAGCTGGCAACGCGCCAAGGGATAAGTTTGGAGGACTTGGGAAAAGCAAGCATCTGATCAACCCATCAGCATCAGCCACAGGGTCAAAATAGGGCCGTAACGCACCGTAACGCTCCCGTAACATCGGCGTGACTTATTATGGATGTGACTTGTGACATGCGTGACTCGGTTCAGAGCGTGACAGACCCCAATTGACCTTGTGTTCTTTTCGTCCGCTTTCCTTCCCCACAGCGCTCGTCTCGAAAGACGTCCTGCCCGCTTTCTTTGCCCTTCGGGTCTTTCATTCTTTTAATACTTCGCTCCTTACGATAAACCACTAAAAAAAACCCACCGAGACGGACAAGAAACCAGTGACTAACAATGTCGAGACACGGTAATATTGACGCACGTAGCTCCGGCAAACTTCACCGCAAAGCTGCTCAAGACATCTGGGCGCGCTTCAGTGCGTCTTACCCGAACGAAGAACCTACTGGATCTCCGTCTGCTGGTCTGGGTCGTAAGTCTTTCGGTTTGATTGGGCTATTGATGCTGATGGGTGTATTCATAAATAGCGGCCTCTGCCAAACCCTCGAGTGCTCCTGCAACTTCCGCTGCAATCCTCAAGACCTCCACTACTACCACTTCGTCTTCGTCTTCCTCGACGAGCTCTTCGACGTCAACCTCGACAACTTCTTCATCCTCGTCGACAATTTCTTCGTCGTCCGCCTTGTCGTCGATCTCAACTCTGTCGACCCCCGCTTACACACCGGTACGCATCTGTCACCCCAGCCCCCGTTTCTTGTTGCTGATATTCAAATACAGCCCCCGCCTCGTCCTTCTACTTCCAATTACAGGAGTGCGACCGGGTTATCCCTTGCTCCGAGTTCCTCGACCTCGGCTGCTGCTTCAGCTACTCCTACGGGTACAAGCACAATAAGCACCGGCCTTCTCGTTGGTGGAATCGCTGGGGGTCTCGTTGGCCTCGCAATCATTGGTTTCGCGCTTATGTTCTGCCTGGTATTCAAACTTGCTTCTCTGACAAGTACTTTTCTTATATGACCATTTTAACAGCGCAAGTGCCGCAAGGGCGATGACTACGAGGATGACTTCAATGCGAGCGCGTTCAAGCGTCAGTCTGCCATCCTCGTTGATGATCCAGTTCCACCCCCCCAGTCATACAATCCGCGTCCTCCTAGCATGATTGAGCGCAAGATGGCCAATGCATCCCCGGCTCTTGCTCGACAGAAATCTTACGGACAGAATTACTACGGTGGGTATGGAGGGTACGGTCAACAGTCTTATCAAGCTCCCCCCCCAATGCCGGCAGCATACCAACAACCCGCTATGGGCTACAATGATCCCAGTCAGCTCGCCCGGCAGCCCTCTCATGCGGCTTACCTCAACCGCCAGCCCTCTGCAGGCGCGCCATATGCATCGCCTGTTGATCCCAGCGCTCACTACGTCGACCTCGACCGTTCCAGCGTTACCCCCTTCCAAGCTGCACAATACGCTGACATTTCACGTCAGCTGAACAGCTATGACCCTCATATGGCCGCGCCTCATGCTGACGAAGATGATTTTGGGCCCCTCCCCAGCCCTTTTGACGACGTCGCGCATGACGATGGTCACCACACCACCGACGCTGTGCCTCGCGCGCCGTCTCCTGTTCATCTGCAGGAATCAGCTCCCCATGAAGGTGATGCTATCGGAACTGCCGTGACTTCTCCCGATGTTGGTGCTCCGCGCGCCAGAGAGGCACCCAGTGCTACCAAGAGGCCAGACACCGTATACACCGTGTATGGTGACGGCGATGCTTACGATGGTATCTAAACACCCCTTCACATCTTCAATCCACAGTCTATCACCTGCGTTGAA